ATCCGTTGAAATTCTTTGTCTGCCGTTATACTCTCTGAAGATATTTTGATACGAATCTAATTTCTCTAAATTTGATATGAATTGATGTTTGATGTAATTTGAATGATATCATAAGGGAGTTATTATAAGGGGCAGGAATCATTTGAGATTCTATCTGTGTCAGGAAAGGGAGGCATAAGGGGCCAGAATCCTTTTGGTATGCTATTTCTCTATTTTTTTTTTGTTCATTCTTTGCTTTTGTTATCTTCTTTTTATTAGATGACTTTTTGCAGGTATTCTTTAGCAGAGGCCTAGTTGCTAATTCATATTTCTGAAGATCCCAATTTTTTTGGGCAGGTATCTGGCCTCCCATAGCTTTATTTTTTATTTTATTTTTTTTTTGTTTCTTTTGAATTTTATAATTAATAGGGATTTGTGGCTCTCATGACCTTTTTCTTTTGAATGTAGCTCTCTGAGCAATAGCGAGCCTTTGATCTCTCTTAAGGACATGTATTTTTTTGCTTGATATTAATGACTAAGCTCGTTAGTGGGTTTCAAAAAAAATACATTATGACTTATTTGTAACTAAAACTAGTTTATAAGTTTGCCCATTTTCTTTGTTACTATTAGGGTGTTGGTTAAAAATAAAATGGGTGCAAATTATTTTAAATGTAAGGGTTTTGAGAGTATCAGTGTTTCACTATAAAAAATAATAGGGCACCTTAAAGTTCCATAATACGTATCTATTAGGGCACATGATATATTGGGGCATCAAACAATTGTGTCACTTAGGTGGTCGTTGGCATAAGGTTAAGGGAATTTTTATGTTCCATAAAAACTAAACTTTCATGACATATAATTTTGATTATAACATAGTCTCCTCAGCAACACCTATAAGGTGTCCTAATAGACAAAATTTTCTAACACTTTCATGTGATGGAATTTGTGAATAAATATGATAAATATTATGTATCATAATAGGTTAACTTTCCTAACATATTTTTTTGATGAAATATGTTTAATAATAAGTCACATTTAAGTTGCTCTAGGATATATGATTTCTCAAAACTTCAAATTAATGAAATATTTTTTTCAAACCAAATTTGATTTGAACTCTTAACCACTTTTGGCTCCATCTATTCCCCACCATGGCCCACCACCACCTCCGACCCTCCACAACTATAATTGTAGACCACTACCAACCACTACTATTAACCATCAACCTCCATTATCTTTGAGCTTTACACAATATTTATTTTTCTTCAAGCAAAACAAAAAAATGTAGCCACAGACATTTAAACTTATCTAAACAACTACAATATATTTAAAATAAATTGTATTCATTTTACACAGCTTTCCTTTTGCACCGCATTGCTTTTTAAAACAACTAAACTCCTCCTTAGTCTAATTGTTTGAATTAGGGTGTCAAGCTTGCTGCAAGCTTGTTTGGGCTTGACTCTATGAGCTAACGAGCTAAACTTGAGCCAACCCAGACTCGACTCATTAGCACATGAGTACATTTAATTTATATCAATATTTAGAATTTTAAGTGCAAATTTGTTGACAATATTTAAAAATCTATATCTCACTTTCTTATATTAAGTGATTATTATTTTTCTTCTAATGCCTCATACATTTTACTAGTTTGCTATAATAATTCATAGAATCATAACCATTTTCTCTTTTCATACTAGATGAGCGGGCTCAAGCTTATAAAATTGTTGCGTCCTGGAATATTCACGGCGGTAGAGAATATAAAATTTAATGTTATAGGTTTCTACGAAGATCCAACACACAAGCAGAAAAAGAGAGGGTGTAACGTTCATAAGATACACCATAATTTTTACATGGAAACCCCTGAAAAGGGGAAGAAATCACGAGGCCTGACCCTATTTGAATGAATCAACTAGTGATTATAATTGATTACAAATAAGACCATTCCTTGGGAGGAAGGTCTTGGTTCAAAGTAGTAAATATACATCATCTGTAGTGCATTATATGATAGGAGTTGGAAGAATCAGTGTTGATATGTTTGGTAGGACCATAGTCAGTGAGCGATATAGGTTGGAAGGATCATAGTCGGCGGGCGACAGAGGTCTGGAGGACCTTAGTTGGCAGACGATAGAGGTCTGAAAGATTGTCGTCGGCAGGCGACGGAGGTCGAGATGATAATAGTCAGCAGGCGACGAAGGTCGGGATGATAGTAGTCGGTGGGCGATGGAGGTCGAGAGGACCATAGTCGACGGATGACGGAGGTCTAGAGGACCAATGTCTGGTGAGAGAGGTTGGAAGGACCGTTATCTGCGGGAGATAGTGGTCAGAAAAACATTATCTGGAGATGGAGGTTGGGAGGATCGTAGTCGGTGAGCGACATAGGTCTGAATGACTGTTGTATGACGACGGAGGTCGAAATGATCGTAGTCGGCTAGCGATGGAGGTCGGGAGAACCATTGTTGAGAGAATTGGAGCTGACATGCGACGAAGGTAAGGAGGATCGTTGTCGGGCGACATTGGTTGGAAAGATCATAGTTGACAGACGATGGAGGTCAGGAGGACCGTTATCAGAGGTGGTCGGCAAACGGGCAGAAGTCTGGCGATGGTTGGAACGAACTTCTGTGGTAGTCGGCGGACTGGCTGAAGTTTGGCAGTGCCCGGTGCCCGGTGGACTTGTGGAAGTTCGGCAGTTTCTCGGCAGACTGTCGAAAGTTTGGCGATGGTCGACAGATTGGCGGAAGTCCGTCGGTGGTCGGGAAGGACTCCGGCGGTGGTCGATAGATGGGTGGAAGTTCGACAATGGTCGCGAAGAACTCCAGTGGTGGTTGACGGACGTGCAGATGTCCGACGATGGTCGGCAGATGAACGGAAGTCCGATAGTGGCCGGGAAGAACTCCGATGGTGGTCAGGAGGAACTCTGGTGGTGGTCGGCGGACTGGTGGAAGCCGGACGGCGGTCGGTGGACGGGCAGAGATCAGGAGGAACTCCGACGGTGATCAACAAGAATTTCGGGAACGATCGGGAGGAATTCTGACGGTGGTTGCCAAGAACTCCGGCGATAGTCGGTGGTAAGAGAGCTCCCAAACTCCTCCATTCCCTTCCTTCTTCTCCCCTTTGCTTCTTCTCCTCATGTGAAGAATGGAGGGTTATATATAGTTTTTTGAGAGTAACATGACTTGTAAATATGAGAAGGATCAAGGTCAAGATGGGAGTGGTTTGAACAGACGGTTGTTATTGATCCTTTTGATCACTAACTATTTAATGGTCATTTGAATGCCTTAACAATATTGGAATTTAGTGATCTTACGCTCGTTGGATTCATCTCGTCGATCATCTCGATTTGACTATAAGCATGTCACGTTTGGTAATCCAAATTATACTTTCAACCTTCCAAATATGCTTTAGATCCTTACTTTGGGCTCATTTGAGCTCGGATCGAGTTGAATTTGGTGTCGTTGGGTTTGTATTTTTGAGATGTTCAGTTCAACTGTAAGTTTGCATAAATCAGATAAGATGGTCTCCGATTTAATTTTTAAAGCTTCCAACATGATTTTGCCTCAGGATTTATGCCTGATCAAGATAATTTTTTACTGATATATGAAAAATAAAGCCGGAGCACTAGCTCTAACTCAAACTTGATTAATTAATCAAGCTCAAGCCCATGACAGAGGTGACTTGAGACTAGGGGTGTCAATTCGGGTCAACGGGTCAGGTTTGGGTCGAACCCGACTTGACCCAACCATAAACGGGTCAACCCAAATCCAACCCGTTCTTGCAAACGGGTCAGGTTTTTCAACCCAGACCCGACCCGACCCATTACCCGTGTTGCAATTGTTGCGAACTCGGGCGAGTGGGCGACGTCCGCGAGCGATCGCTAGCGCTAGGCCAGTGCTGCTGCGCGGGGCGAGGCCTGCGACCATCAGGCCAGCACGTGGGTGATGGCGTGACGCCTTGACCGCGGGTGCGACCGTCCTAGACCAGTTGCCAGCGTGTCGTGTGGGACCGGAAAACCGCGGCTGTGCGTGGGTGACACCTTGACCGTGGGTGATGCCTCAATCGCGAGGACACGGGTGGCTACGCACATACGAGGATGCGGGTGGCTACGCCGACTGACCGTGGATGCGGGTGGGTACGCGGACGCGGGATGATGGCTGGTCAAATCCAGGTTAATTGCGGGTTGGCAGGTCAACCCGAACTCGACCAGATTTAAAAAACGGGTTGAAATCTTGAACTCGAGCCCGACCCGTATGGCAAACGGGTTGACCCGAACCCGAATTTTTTCGGGTCGGGTCAAATATTGACACCCCTACTTGAGACCGGCTCAACTTATTTACACCCCTAATTTGAATTTTACTAAAGTGTTCTTATTTTGTCAACTTAAACAAAACATGAGTATAAATCAAATTTTGTTTAAAATTTTCAGATAGTGAGTGAATATGACTAATTTTCTAATTATTATTATTACTGAATTCATATAATTTATTGATAGATATTAAACATGTTTAAATTTTCTATAAAAAACTTATGAAATTTGCTATGTAAAAATTTTAGTGAATGGGGAGTCTAGGGGTGCAAATAAGTCGAGTCGAGTCGAATGAGCACTCACCATTCGGAAAGGAAGCTTGAGCCGCCTCGCGAGCCTAGGCGGTTGTCCGCGTCTGAGCTAGTTGCCCGCTTCGGTGTCCAAGCGAGTCGTCCGCCTCCGCCTGGTTTCAGCCCGCAAAATTTCCCGCCCACGGATCTCTGCCGCAGTTCCCGAGTCGATTAGGAAGCTCGCAAGTCGAGTGTTGTGTTGTTCGAACTCGATCAGCTCAACTCATTGAGCTCAAATCAACTTGCGAGTTGGCTTGACTCAATTACTGTTTCAAACTAGTATCAACAAGTCTAAATGAAAGTCTACATTTACTCGGAATAAATAAGAACTCACGACTTATAAAGTTTTCTCATTCAACGTTAAAACGAGCTATATTAAATTTTCCCTAAAAAATATAAATAAAAAAAACTCCGTTGAAAGTCGGTCGACTAGAGGTGAGTTCCAATTGCTGGGTGAGTGGGCGCCAGAGAAGCTGATTCCCGAGGAGAGAGAAAATGGAGAGAGAGAAAGAGAGGAGAAGGAGAGAGAAATCCCCTTTTGGGTAATTTGAGCTACGTTCTCTCTCAAACCTCCTAATGTCTTTCCTTCATTGGCCCTGTGAATTTCCAAGTGGTTCATAATCCATAGCAGCAGAACAAGTAGACCAATAAAGTAAGCAAAATTTCCCTCTAAAGCTTTAGAACTCCGCATGCTTTAGTTCTCCATTCTCTATTCTCTCTCTTTCCCCAACTCGATCTCATTAGGGTTTCCAGTAGGCCAGCCTTAATTTAGTAAGTTCCCGCTCTTCATTCCAGAAGAGGAAAAATTAAGAAAACTGTGCAATCTTCTTTATTCTGTCTTCTTTCTGTTCCATCAACCTTTCCACGTCCTTTTTTTTTAGGGTTTTAGATGGCGAGGGAGAAGATACAAATAAGGAAGATAAATAATGCAACGGCAAGGCAGGTGACCTTCTCGAAGAGAAGGAGAGGTCTGTTTAAGAAGGCAGAGGAGCTTTCTATTCTTTGTGATGCAGAGGTGGGACTTATTGTCTTCTCATCTACTGGCAAGCTCTTCGAGTTCTCAAGCTCAAGGTATGTGCGAGTCTGATGAGCGAGAAAGTTAGAAGGTGAAGTATATGGTTTATCATTATCATTATTATTATGTTATTCTAAGTGATTTGTTCATTTATCTACATATTTTGTCTTCATGGCATGAAAGAAAGTTTCATCTTTGCATTTATGGTACTTATATCATCATTGTGTGTGAGAGAGAGAGAGAGAGAGAGAGAGAGAGAGAGAGAGAAAGAGAGAGAGAGAGAGACTGTGAAGAGATTTTGTTGATTTCATGTTTGAACTGGCTTACTTTTCTATGTATGGTCAATCTTTTGCCGTACGTGCTATCGTTTGTAGCTTAATGTGGTACGCTTTTGAGCTTTGGTGTAGAGGATTTTACTTTGTTTACTAGTTCCATTTTTATTTGTTAAACTCTTAATGCTTTCAAGCTCCATTCATGCGATTTTTTTATTATTTTTTGGGTTGGGAAATGGGAGCCAATTAGCTGGAGAGAGAGAGTTTTTTTTTTTTTTTAGTGTTGATTGTGAGATCTGATTTCCTATTTATAACTCTCAGTAATTTCTTCAGTGTGGTTAGAAATTTTGTATCGTGTAGTTTCGGGTTGGTTCAGTTCCACTGAATGATGAAGTGAAAACCTGTAGAATGATGTTTTATCATGAGTAGTTAAAAAAGATTTGCATCCTTTGTATCTTTATACATGATATTTCATGTTGATTTGTTTATGATTTACAAGTAGTGTAATGTAATTAGAGCATCCGTTCAGGTCTCTTAACTTACATTTTAACCACAATATTCATTGAACCAAGCACATGTAGACTTGAAGGTTTACTTAGACCGCCATGATCGACGGTTCACCTAGTACATTGGTTGACTCATTTGGTTGACCAAAAACCCATGATTAATCATGACCGACTTCATACAATGTTGGTCATATTCATTTATAAAGTTGTATCCTGGAGGACATCTAAGAAACCAATTTCAACACACGTAATTGTTGGTTAATGAAATTAATATGGTAAAAGTACTTTAAAAACATTTCTTCCTCTCTAAAACATACTTAAAAGGCCAAATATTTTGATCAAAACAGCTTGATATGTGGATTTGTTTTGTATGTAGAAGTTGCTGACACTTTTTTTTTCCTCCGAAGGGAACAATTTTCTGTAGCTTAAATATAATTCATGATAGTGATGACTTTGGTCCAAGTTCTTAATCCTCTCATTTTTCACCTATGAAAGTTCTCAAACCCTCAAATCTCTCTTAATAGATTTCCAAAATCTCCTATCACTAAATAAAAATTGTTCATACCAAACTCTAACCTAATTAGAAGTCCAACATAGCCATTATATCACTTTACTTTGATGATTAGTGAAAAGCAACTTATTCTAAATTTATAAAAGACTGATGAATGAGAACAAGTATATCTTGTGTCTCTATCCTTTTAAATATCATTCTTCTGGCGCGGGCTAGGACAATCTTTCTTAACTTTTTGCTCTCCTTTTGGGGCTGGTTGCATAAGAATGTTAACATTAAAAATTTGTGACTTTGATACAAAAATTTAAGTGTTGCTAAAAATTATACTTTTATTCACAATTTTTAAAAAATGTTGGACTAAAATTTAGTGTCTTGTCACATAAAAAACAGTTTTATAAGTTATAACTCAATTTTGTTGTACTAATTCTTAATTTTTAGTTGAAAGCAGTGGGAAAAATATTAGAACTAGAGTTGAGGACAAATGAAATAAATGGTGGATCAGTAGTATATAGTATTATCTTATAGGCCAATGATTATGTGCTTGTGTGATTTTGATTATCGAAGCGCAGCAGTTGCTTAATTAAGTTTAAAATAGTAAAACTCGCAACAATTTAGTTAGCTCATACAAATTTAGCTTTTTGGTGCTTGTTTATGTTCATATAGATATGTGACTGGAGTTTGGGAAATGCTAACAAGAGTAAGCGGAAAAAAATAATGACGCACAGAGATTTTGCTTTTGTGTTAGCGAGATGCTAAAATTTGGTTGGGCTTCCTTATCATCAGCTGCAAAAAAAAAAAAAAAGTTTCATTACTAGAAATTAATTCTAACTATGGTGTTCCCTTCTATTAAGAAGCGCCAGAATGGCTAGAAGTCCTTTTTTTTTTGTTAAAGATGCAACTAGAAAATTTTCGTTACACTTTTTAACTAATTTAGCCACATTTTCCACAATATTTGACTACCTAGTATTCACCCTATCCCTGCTTCTAATTGGAGTTGTGGAGATCCTACAATTGTCCAAAGCCGACGTCCCCCTACAATTGGCAGAAGCGTGCGAAATGGGAGAAATATTGTTACTGTCGTGGCGAACTCCTATCACGACTTCCGATTCGATAGGAAGAATGTTTTCGGAGGAGGCGGAGAAGCTTCGATACTTGCAGAACTTAACTTAATGCGGAGGAGAACAACAACAAAGAAATGCAGAAGAGGAAAAGCAAACCCTAAAGCTCTACATCACACGAAAAGCAAGGAAGAAATAGAAAGAGGAAAAGCCTACCGTTATAGTCTAATTTTATTTAAAGAGAGTAACCAAAGATTAATTTTCTTTATATATTATTATTATTACTAATTGGATCATCTATAGTGCCAATCCCGTGCAATAACTTGGCTAATACTTCTAGTTGCCTACATTTTTATTTTTATTATTATTATTTTTAGTTGCATAAATACCTTGGTCATAAGGGTTCAAATTAAACATACTTTAAAAAAAGTAGTTATAGGATCATACTACAAATTTTGGCCCAAAAAAAAAATGAAAAGAGAAGAATCCCTTAGCATGAAGGCCTCCATCTCACCATGAACGAGAAGCTAACTCCATGATTCTCTTACCATCAAATTAAATATACATAAATAACATAATATACAAATAATTGTTAAGTTAGTAAATATGAGGATGTAACTAGTAAAGAATATGGAGCAAATAGATCAAAAACAGTTATTATAAAAAAAAATAAAAATAAGATTAAGGCCAAACTATATCTAATAGTAAGACAAACACAAACCATTAATTGGAAAGACAATGTGCAAGATAGGAATAATATGACATATAATGAAAAGGCAAGGAGCATAAGGGTTGGTGCTGTTTTATGGTCTGGGTTGATGAGTTGTTCTCCCTAGACCTTGGTTGGTTTTTTGGTCTGGGTTGGTCAATTGGTGTTGTTTCTTCTGTTGATTTTTGCCTTGTCAAATCTTTCTGCTTATGTCTTCTTTTGCAGGATAAGGGTTTCTCTTATATATTATTTGTTGCTTGTAGTCGATTGATGTTCTATGATTTTGGGTGATTATGCTTCTAATTTTCCTTGTGTTTAGCTTATCGATTGTGTTCAGCTCTTATTGAGTTGCAGTTGTTCTTTGCTTCTGTCCTGATGGGTTCTTCTACCCTTGGGCTTTCATAAAGTCGGTGGTTACATTGTTGTTGATTGTTTCTGCTAAGCTTATTGATTATTATGGTCGTTGCCTCTATTTGTGATTTCTTTCTATTTTTTATATTTCCATGCTTGTCCTTTTTATTCTTACTTTCTCTTTTTTTTTTTTCATTTATTTTTTGGTGATGCTTCTTGTCTCTTGCAGAATTTTCCTAGATTTTTCCTCTATGTATTTAGATGGGATCTTTAGCTCATAGGGTTTATTTTTCTTTTTGATTGTAGCTTTTACGAGCAGTAGCAAGCATTAGATCTCTTTTAAGGATTTATAATTTTAACTTATATTAACCTATTGGTCCGGTGGTGGGTTTTATCAAAAAAAGGTTTTATTTTGTGTTTGTGTGTGTGTGTGGGGGGGGGGGGGACATTAATTTTAACTTATAATAAGGGCATAAAAAGAGCCACCATCCATCAACCAGCACCTGCAAGACAAGGCAACATACCCTACCAAAATCCAAAACAAAAAGAAGGGATAGAACACCCAAGGCCAGCAACAACCACCAAGAACACCAACACAGAAAGTTGTGATTAAGACTTAGTGTTAGAACGCGTGGGTCAGAGAAACATTAATTTTAACTTATAATAAGGGCATAAAAAGAGCCAGCATCCATCAACCAGCAGACAACCAGCACCAGCAAGACAAGGCAACATACCCTACCAAAATCCAAAACAAAAAGAAGGGACAGAACACCCAAGGCCAGCAACAACCACCAACAACACCAACACAGAAAGCTGCGATCAAGACTTAGTGTTAGAACGCGTGGGTCTCCTCAGAATATTTGGAATTGAGATTGCTATTGTTTTTATTTTTGTTTTTTCTCCTTCCCAAGTCAGTGGATAACCCCTCCACCTGCAAGACACTTAAATCATTCTCCTCTAGCAAACACAAAGAGGAATCAACATCATCCTCCCCCGCACCGCAGCTATCAGTCAATTGAGAATAAATTCAATCAGAATGATCAATTGGATCATCTAATTGCAAATTTAAATGTTACTTCCCACTATCCAAATCAACTTTAGAGATGGGGAAAGCATGCTTCTTTTATCCACCAATAATCTAATTTTTGAAATTTTGAAAAAAATCTACAAAGTCGTTAAAATTTTTATGGCATATATACAAAGGAACTACAGGATAATTTAAAATTGTCTTCTCATAAAGAAGCTAGTATTAATAATGATGAAGTTAGGCATCTGCAAATAACATGATGTTTGAGTTATAAAGATAATTTCTCCTTATTAATCATTTGTTGAGTTATGTTTTCTTATTAGTTTATAAATTTAATTTAATAATGATATTTAAGTGAATATTAGTTATACTTGATGAATATAATGATATCATCAACAACAAATGAGCGGAAAGCAACTAACTTTTTTGTAATCAAAATTAAAATTTGATGGAAGGGTTTTTCCAAAATAGTTTATTTAGACTTTAAGAATGATATATGTGATTATTATGATAAAAAATAGATGAAAAATAGGATCTTCATAACAAAAGCCACGATGAGATTAGAAGAAACCCCGAGGAGTTCCTTTAATAAGTAATTAAAAAAAAAATCACGAAAGGGCCT